AGGCTTGTTTGGCGCGTGTTTTCACGTAACAAAGGAAAAGATGAAAAGAGTTTTACAAGCAGTTAGAGGCTGCTTGGGCGATTTATCGACTCTTAGTTGCCAGCTCAGAGCGCCTTCCATCCCTAGTATCGCCTACAGATCTTCGAATAATAGAAGTCAGCAAGCTTTACGTAGGTTTGGAAAGATCTACCCAGGTATCTCCGTATCGCGGCTTCAGGCTCGGGGGTCAGCCGAGGCCTGAGGCTGCGCGGGATCTTTCTGCAGTAGAAAAGATGAGTTGGAGACTTCCGGCGCCCGCACGGGCAGTTGATCACAGCGTCGTCATGATTGAAGCGCTCGTGGTAGTCGGCGAAGTCTCCGTGGTGTGTCCTCGCAGCTAGGAGATATCCTAGCTGCCGTCGTTGAAGTGTCAGCTCGGGAAGCTTCTTCAGTTCAGCTTTCAGTTGGAGTCCGTGGTAGCTCTCGCGGTCAACTGTGTTCCACCATCGCTGGAAAGCCATGGGGAGGAAGCTTTGCATTCGGCGCTTGCAGTAGGAGACCGTCAGGAGGTTATCTCCTACTGGCATTTTCGCGCCTTCCTTGGCGAGCTGGTCGGCCAGCTCGTTGCCTTCGATTCCAGTGTGCCCTGGGCACCATCGCACGTGGATCATACCTGGGTGGGCGTCACCTGTCTTTTGGAGCTGGCGGAAAGCCATCTGTGACGATGACGGTGCCGTCGTACCAATGCAGTCAATCACAGAGGTGTTGTCGATACAAATTGTGATCCCTTCCCTTGGGCGCTGGTGCGCGAGAGCAGCGCGGAGACCTTCCACCGCGCCTTTGATCTCTGCGTCAAACACTTCGCCCTTGCCAATCTGGCCGCAACCTTGTGTGATGAGCTGCTGCCGACGGTAGACAGCATATCCAAAGCCTGCCATATCTCTTTCTGTCTTGGAGCCATCGCTATAGACGACCATGCTCGTCTGGGTCTGGCTCCATTTCCGGATTCTTTCCGCCTGGCGTTCCTTTGTTGGGCGATGTTCCTTGTCTTCTGTCCAGATAGCGCTGGAGAAACGCTTGGGAATCAGACGTGGTCGCTCTGCCGCTGGTGCCAGGGCGGCGTTGCGGAAGAGCCTGGCGCTTTTCATCGCTGTTCGCCGTGTCGTGGCCGCATCAGGATGTGTGGCGTGCTGGATCTCATGCTCTTGCTGCAGGATACGGTGGACAAGCGGATGGTGGACGTCAAGACGTGCCCAGCGGTTCGCATTGCGCATCGCAAGCTGCTCAAGGAGCACTCCTGCTGGTGGGATGCCAGCTTCCTTCCAAAGTGTGGGTCTTCGGCGTTGTCTTCCACGAGGGTAGGGTAGGATCATCCGGCAGGCCGCTGTTAGTGTTTTCTGGATTATCCCAAGATGACCCTGTAACACTCGCTCCGAACCTGGATACCAGACGTCTACTCCGTAGAAAGGGGTTGGCATGACCACTGCCAATACGGCCTTCCTCGCTGCGGCGGCTGAGATTCCGCGGACAGTGTTGCTCATACTCCGAAGATGGTATATGATGCTGTTGGCTTTCTGTGCCCACTTCGTGATGTGAACCGTGAAGTTCAGGCGTGCGTCGAACCAGACACCAAGCCATCTCATTGCTGGTTTTGCTTGGACCGTCTGATCTTGATGTTGGATGGGCGGTAGGTTACTTCTCTTCTTACCAGACACCAAGCCATCTCATTGCTGGTTTTGCTTGGACCGTCCGATCCTGATGTTGGATGGGCGGTAGGTTACTTCTCTTCCCGTTTACAAAATGCATCACTTCCGTCTTTTTGGCGTCAAAGGCGAAGCCTTCTCTCCTGCCCCATTCCTCCATTACAGTAATTGCGGCGTTCGCTTGGGCGGTAGTCTCGTCCAGCGTATCTCCAACGAAGAGCATAGCGGTGTCGTCAGCGTAGCCGTATCGCTGCGTAGCGCCAGGGAGCGCGTAGAGCGCTGCTGTTGCCAGTAGGTAGAGTATCGGCGAGAGTGGGGAGCCTTGCGGGATGCCGCACAGAAGTTCTAATGTTTCCGCGATAGCGTCCTCAAAGCGGACGCTCGCTAGTCGGTGTGTGAGGAACATCGCAAGCCAGCGGACAAGGAAATCCGGCCAGCCTTGCTTGCGTAGCTGGAGTATGAGCCTATTTCGCAGAATAGCATCAAAAGCTCCCTCTACATCCATTGTCACGAGAGTGGCGACTTTCTTCTTCTTCTTTCCCCGTCGTGCTTGCTCCACGTCATGTGTTAGCGCAGCAGCGATGTCGGTGGCACTCCGCTGGGGCAGAGCACCCGCTTGGTTCGGGTGTAGTATCTTGTGCTTGATGGCTAGGTGAGACATTCGTTTAGCGATGAGGCGTTCCATACCCTTGCCTAAGCAGGAAAGCAAAGAAATCGGTCGCCATGCCGACGGGTCTGTGAGGTTGCGTTTGTTCGGTTTTGGTATCATGACCACCTCGGCTGTGCGCCATGCGTTCGGGCAGTAGCCCTGCTGTAGGCACGCGTTGTAGATCCGTGTTACGAGATGCCCTATTGTCGGCCAGAGATTCCGGAGCATGTCCACCGTTATCCCATCGGCGCCGGGCGAGGTGTTCCCGGCACTGAGGAGCCCAAAACGGGCTTCCTCGTAGGAGATCTTACGGTCAAATGAGATTGTGGTTTCTGGTGTCACGGTTAGAGACCACGGGTCTGCAATATCATCGTTTGCTGTACGCCGTGTAAGTTTTGCCTGGCCTAGGGCTCGAGCTTTATCCTTGTTGGATGAGAAGATCTGCCCGTCGACCTGAATCGGAGGCGGGGAGATCCGCTGCCGAGGTTTGAGCCAGCGTGTGACCTTGTACACGTCGTCTGGCGCTGTTATGTTTGCGATGATTTCGCGCCAGAAGTCCCGCTGGACACGACGAACCGTTCGTTTGAAGCAGACGCGCGCGCGCTGTGTCTCCTCGCCCGTAGGGTTCTCGGTCGTACGCCAGAGCACTCGGAAGTCTAGCAGCGAATTCGCGCATTCTTCGTTCCACCAGGGATTCTTGCCAGCCTTGTGGTTATTTTGGCGATGGCCACAGGTGCGGATCGCCCTCTCGATAATGTTCGAGAGTGCAGATGTTGTTTGTTCGATGTTCTCATGGCTATCAAGTGACGGGTGGAGCAGGGCGAATGCTGTTTTAACATGGGTGACAAAATGTTCCATCTCTTCGCCCAAGGAGACTTTGTATCTGCTGATAACCCGCGGGGGGGCCTCTGCAGCTAGTACTTCGATGCACACGGTGTAGTGTAGGGAGCCTGTTGTCAGATACTCTTCCACTACTGCGGCGGCTTGATCGATATTGGAGAATGCTAGGTCTATCGTAGTTGCGCGTCTGTGCGGTGTTGACCGGGTTGTGTCTGCGTCTGGTTCAATTGAGAAGGAGAAGACCTTGCTCTTCTGCCCATTCAGCGAGTTTTGTGCCGCATCTTGAGCTCGGTCGGTCTGTTCTCCAGTGGAGGTGATGGGCATTCATGTCCCCAGCGACGATGGTGTTCATAGGGACGTTCCATTGTGTGATGGCCGTGATAGTTTCGGTGACTTGAGGATCGTTATAAACGTTTAGGATAGTAGTGCCGTTTATCACCACCCATAGTAGGTCGCGGCTTTGGAATACTGTGAGTTGTTCAGGGTGTATATTACGATGTTTTCGAACGTAGGTGAGCACCCGTGGGCGTGTTGCTGCAGAGTTCCAATACGAGACGGGGGAAAAGCATAGGAATCCGGGGTGATCTGGTGCTCGGCAATGGTCCCGTTTGCCGTTGTAGGAGGAGTGTGGTTCCTGGAGTAGAACCACGTTGTAGTCTTTTTCGTATGCTAGCTGAAGGGCTGCTTGGTGTGCAGCTTCGCTCTTGTCGACGTTCGCCTGGAATAGGCGGAGTGATATCGGCTTGTTATTTCCGGGCATTAAGTCTTGTACGAATTTGCCTTGGTTTCTTTGTTGGCGACTGTTGTGCCGGTGAAGATGGTGGAGAGTGAGCGACCATTATCGAGTCACTGGATAGTTCTGTAGGCTGTGGCTGCATTCGTCTGAGGACGGATGCCTTGATTGTCAACTGCTTTGCTGTGGCAGCTGACGCTGTTCTAGTTGCTGGGGCCTGGCTCGTGGTATTACGCTGGGCGGGTTGATTGCGTGGCAGGGGAAGTGGAGGAAGTGGGGTGCTTTCCTCTGCGTCCTCGTCAACCTCGTCTTCAACTTCCCCAATTTCTCCCTCTCTTTCCTTCTCCTCAGCTTCTTCTTCGGTGTCCATATTCTCTTCCGAGAGCTCTGGATCATCGAGGTTGCCTATATTGTCTTCCTGATGAACATTGTGTTCTGCCTCCGTGGCGTTGAGCACGGGGTTTCCATCTTCGGTCATCTTGGCATTGGGCGTATCCTGGTCTATTGTGATGGCCTGTGTGGTCTCGGCGGCTTTCGCCAACGGTTGGGAGCGTTCCCAACGTTCGTATGCAAATTTGCCTTGCTGCATAGCGTATTTGCGTTCCGTCTTAGAGAGTGCTCGTTGACCATCCGTAGTGGGCTTAGGGCGGGCAAAACAGTCTGGGGATCCTGCGGCGTGCGGGCCAGAGCAACCCACACATCTAGGAGAGGCTGTACAGCCATCTAGGCTATGGCTGGGGCTGTTGCAGTTGCCACAAACCATTTGTTTCTGGCAGCGTGTGGGCGGGTGGTATAGCCAACACGTTTCACATAGGGTGAGTCGCCGCGATCCCGGACGGTAGACAGAGAGGTCGCCGTAGTTCAGGAGGCGAAAGCGGTTCTTGAGAAGTTGGTCAAAGTGGATAACGAGCGTTGTTGTCGGGCTGTCTGTATCGGTACATCTCCATTGGACAGGGTGAAGTCCTGTCTGTTGCTTGATGGCTTCCTCGACTGTCAGTTTGTAGTCTAGCTCCGTGCCATCATACGAAGGGATGGTACGTGGGAAGTTCTTGACAAGGTAGGTATACCATTTAATGTCCTTTTCCGCGATTTCAAGCCCAACGAGGGGCCCCCAAAGCTGCTGTTGCTGAAGGATTTTCTGTTGGATTTCACTGGTGCGAGGGGTAAGTGCAAATCCGGTGTTGGTCTCTTTCATGTCGGGGAGGTCAGCTAGCTGTAGATGTAGTTTGTCGCGAATCGCCAGTTGGATTTGCAGTCCCTTGTCAAAGAATTCTGAGTCTTCTCGGAGGCGGATGAGGATCCTCTTCTCATTCCTTGGTGTTTGCTGTCTGCGTTTCGGGGTGTCCTGAGGCGTGATTATACGATTGCCGGGCTTGATCTCATGTGCGGCGCGTGCAACGCCTGCGAATGATATTTCTTTCTCGGGCGGTGTTGCGCGCGAGGCGCTTGCTTTGTTGTTGGGGGTGACATTGTCGGCAGGGGTTGGCGATGGCCCGCCGTGGCAGGCGGCTTTCCAGTGCTGGAGGAGGGTTGTTCTGAGACGGTGTGCGAAGTGTTTTCCATATCCAGAGGAGAATTGTTCGTCGCATTTCGCAATTGCTTGTGTGTATGCGCGAAGGATGCTGGCACGAGTGTTAAGCTGGTCCTGCGCTTCCGCGATGAGAGCCTCGGCGTCAGGGGCAGCGTCGTCCTCTTCGTCCTCTTCGTCCTCAGTCACAAGTGGTGCGAAGCGGTTGTTATTCGGTGGCTGTTTTCTCTTCCCGGCTTCCAGTCGGGTAGACTGCTGTCGGATTGCGCTGCTGCTCCCGACGAAGGGGCGGTTGCGTACTGGGATGCTGTCACCGGTGATCACTCTCTGTGGGCCATCCAACAGGTTGGATCCTTCAGGGGCATCACGTAGCGGAGCGCCGCTAGTGTTAGCGGCATTTGGGGGCGCAGGCGCCACGCCGTTGGTCGTACGGGCAAAATTTTATGCACGTTTTTCGTTCCGGTTTATTCCGCTATCTCTCTGTCTAAAATCACAAGGTAGGGTATACCTGATGATGTAGAAGGAAGATGGAGCCCATTGGCATTTTTGCCCCTTGATTTGACTAGGGTAGGCTTTTGGACGTGCTATCGAGCCTTCTACGGATTAATGTACAGTCGTACCCGCTAAGTGGGCCCCCAACAGAACGCGTGCCGCGCCCATGTTCTCACTAACTAGTTGCCCCTGGAATACTCTTCCTGTCATCGTCCTCCAGCTGTAGCAGTTTCGCGCCCAATGGCATATATCGGTCTGAATCGATACCCGTCAGCGGGATCACGATGATGTTGGCGTTATGCGCCTGCGGCTGCAACCGCGGGCGCGTCGCGCCAACAACTGTTGTCTCCCGGTCTTTGTACGGGGACCAGCGGGAGCCCTGCTGTCAGTGGCGTGTATCGCCGAAAACAAAGGAAATGAGTGATTGTTTAACGAGTAGCGTAAACTACTCGGGCTGGATACTGTACAGAGCGCGCCAGGCTTGTACGCCTACGTGGTACTATATGCGCTTGTTGATCTTCGAATAATAGAAGTCCGCAAAGCGCACGTACACCTTGTAGGATCTACCGAGGAATTTCTCTATTGCCGTTCCTGGGTCGGGGCCAAGCCGAAGCCGGAGATGGCCAGGAATCTTCCTGCAGTAGAAAATATGGGTAGGTGACTTCTGGCGCCCGCAAGGGCACTCCAGTGTCGCCTGTCCTGGGTGGAATCTCTCGTGATTTTTGTAAAGTCGCCGTGTTGTGATCGCGCAGTCAGAAGATAGCCGAGCAGGCGGCGGGGAAGGCTGAGTTCCGGGAGTTTCTTCAGCTCGGCACTAAGTCCAAGCCTCAGGTACTCCGTTCTCTCAACCGTTGCCCACCAGGCTCGGTGATCGACTGCTATCTGCTTCTTCATCTGTCTTTTCCTATACGAGACAGATGGCAAGTGTTCGTCTGTGGGGAGCGTAGCGCCATGCTTCGCAAGTTGGTCGGCCAGCTCGTTGCCGAAAATGCCAGTGTGGCCAGGCGACCATTTGACTGAGATCAGGTACGGGTGCCTGTCACCAATCTTTTGGAATTCTCGGAAGCATGCTTGCGAAGAATCTGCCGCCGTCGCTCCGATGCAGTCAATCACGGACGTGTTGTCCATGCAGACTGTAATCGGCTCGAGGCGGCTGTTCTGTTGCATGGCCGCTTTCAGTCCTGCAAGTGCGCCGTGTATCTCAGCGTCAAATACTTCTCGTCGTCCTAGCTGTCCGGAGCCCCAATCCAGAAGTTGTCCACGGTAAAATACGGCGAAGCCGTATCCCGCCGTATCCGCGTCTGTTTTGGAGCCGTCGCTGAAGACTACATAGCCCGCTGGTCGACCGGCGAGCCACTGCTCGAATTCCGGTACAGACTTTTCTTTGGTGAGCCTCTCACCGGGCCCTTCTACTTGTATATTATCAGAGAACCTCTGTGGGATGAGTCTTGGTCGCTCGATTTTAGGAGTGCGGGATGAAGTCCTTAGGAGCCTCGAGTGCCGCAGCGCCATTCGTTCTGCGATGAGTGGTTTCTCATTCAGCTCGACTTCTCTTTGTGACTGTCGCAGCCGTTTGCTGATTGGGTGTGCTTTGTCTAGTGTGGCATAGCGAACTGCTATGCGTTCCTGGAAATGTCGAAGAAGGACGCTCGCGGGCGGGATCCCTGCTTCTTTCCAGAGAAATTCTAGAGGTGTTGTCTTCCACATTGGCAGAATCATCTTGCACGCGAGGTTGAGTACGCGTTGTATCTTGCCTAGGTTTGTTTTCGAGATGTGGTTCCTTTTGAAGCGTGAACTACCTGTATCCAAGCCGGGCAGCCAGGCGTCTAACCCGTGGAATAGAATAGGCATAGCCACAGACCATGCGGCTCGACGGGCCGCTGTCGCCGCCATGCCTCGCACGGTATTGTTCATAGCTCGGAGGTGGTTAATCACCCTGCGAGCCTTCTGTGTCCACTCATCGATATGGTGGTTAAAGGTGAGCTTCTTGTCTAGCCAGATGCCGAGCCACCGCATAGATGGCGCTGCCCGTATTTCTTTGTCGCCGTGGTGAATGATGGGAGATTTTCATAGCTCGGAGGTGGTTAATCACCCTGCGAGCCTTCTGTGTCCACTCATCGATATGGTGGTTAAAGGTGAGTTTCTTGTCTAGCCAGATGCCGAGCCACCGCATAGATGGCGCTGCCCGTATTTCTTTGTCGCCGTGGTGAATGATGGGAGACAGGTCGTGATCAGCCTTGCGCCTAGAAAAATGCATGACTTCCGTTTTTTCTGGGTCAAAGTGGATTGCCTCGCCTCTTCCCCAAGATTCCATCGCCGCGATTGCTTCGTTTGCTTGTCTCGCAGTGTCTTCCAGCGAGTCTCCGATAAAGAGCATCGCCGTGTCGTCCGCGTATCCGTATCTCTGGGCTGCGCCCGAGAGGAAATAGATTGCCGCTGTGATCAAGATATAGAGTATTGGGGAGATGGGGGAGCCTTGAGGCAGGCCGCATCGCAGCTTCGCGCTTGGTGTGGTCGTGTCCTGGAAGCGCACGCTGGCTGTTCTGTCTAGCAGGAAACTGGCTATCCACCGGATCAAGAAATCCGGCCATCCCTGTTGTCGAAGGCAAAGGATCATGCGATTGCGAAGGATGGCGTCGAAAGCGCCCATGACGTCTTCCGTGACTAGAGTGGCCACCTGACCAGCTGCTAGTGCTTTCTCGATATCGTAGATGAGGGAAACCACGATATCTACGGCGGACCGTTTCGGCAGCGCACCAGCCTGGTTCGGGTGAAGGATGCCATATCTGATGGCGGCGTATGCCATTCTTCTTGCGATCACCCGTTCCAAGCCTTTGCTGAGGCAGGAAAGGAGTGATATTGGTCGCCATGTGGACACCTTACTGAGGTCCCGCTTGTTGAGCTTTGGAATCATGACGACCTCCGCCGTCTTGAAGACGCTGGGATGATGACCGAGCCGTAGGCAGGCGTTATACAGTGTCGTGACTGGTCGGGCAATGTGTGGCCAGGCTGCTTGCAGCATCCTGGTCGTGATTCCGTCTGAGCCGGGTGTGGTGTTTCCGGTGTGTAGGACAGCCTTTTCGACCCCCTTAGTCGAGATGGTTCTTGCGAATGGGATCTCCTTAGCAGGATGAACCGGTGGTTGCCATCCATGGTCGTGATTCCGTCTGAGCCGGGTGTGGTGTTTCCGGTGTGTAGGACAGCCTTCTCGACCTCTTTGGTCGAGATGGTTCTTGCAAATGGAATCCCCTTGGCAGGGTTAACTGATGGTTCCCATCCATCAGCAATGTCGTCTGACGCGTCGCGGCGTTCCAATTTCTCTTTCCGTAGCGCCATCGCCTTCTCTACGTCGGTAGAGTAAGTCGTGTCGCCCACCTGAAGCGGTGGGGGCTGGACTCGTTGCCTCGGTTTCATCCACCTGGTAAGTTTGTATACGCCTTCCGCCGTAGTCACTTCGTTGATCGTATTGCGCCAGAATTTCTGCCTCGTGCGTCTAAGGACGCGGCAGAACTTGACTCTGGCCCGCTGTACTTCCTCTCCCGTTTGGTTCTCGTAGATGCGTCGTGTAATGCGAAGGTCGTCGTGTGCGTCTTCGCACTCCTGGTTCCACAATGGACAGCTTCGGGCGCGGCGGCCGCGGCTAACCCTACCGCATGCTGTGGCAGAGTTTTGAAGGATTTCTTGGAGTTGTCTGGCCATTTCCTCAACCTGCGCTCGCGAGTCTATGCCGGTAGGCAGTGATTTCACTGCTGTGCTTACATGATCTCCAAAAGCCTTGATCTCATCTGGCGTGGTTACTCTGGCTTTTCCGTGTGTGACTTGAGCCGGTTCTCGATTTGGTATTTCAATTCCGATGGTGTAGTGGAGGGATCCTGTCGTAAGGTGGACTTCCACCGTGGCAGTTGCCTCCGGTATGTTTGAGAAGACTAGGTCGATTGTGCTGCTTCTTGTCTTGCGCTTAGCCATGGTAGTTGCTTCGTCAGGTTCGTTTAGCAGTTGTAAGTCGTGTCGTTCTGTCCATTCATAAATCTGACTTCCATCCTGCGAGGCAGGGCGATCAGACTGCCAGGAGCTGTGAGAGGCATTCATGTCCCCAGCGACGATGCATTTCTCTGGTGGAGTCCATTCTTTAAGAAGTCGAAGTGTGTCTTCAACCTCTGGTCTGTTATAAATATTGAGGATGGTGACTCCATTTACCCTAACCCATAGGAGATCTCGGTGTTTTGTTGGTGTAATTTGTTCGGCTTGGATCTTGTTACTGATTTTGACGTATGTCATCACGCGGGGGCGTGTGTCGTTGTTGTGCCAGGAGTCCACCGGGCTGAAGCACAGGAAGCCTGGGTGGTACTGGGTCCGGCATATCCTTTTCTGTTTGTTGAAGGACGTGCTCGGTTCTTGTAGAATTACAACATTGTAGCCCTCCAGGAAGGCAAGCTGGAGGGCAGCGCTGTGAGCTTCCTTCCCTTTGTCGACGTTTGCTTGAAATATTTTTATTGTCGATGATTGGAGGTGTGTGTGTGTTCTGATTATCATTTGCTATATGTGCGCATATTTCGTCGTAGTCGTTTCTTTGGCGATTGATCTCGTCGCCGGGTTTCCTGAGGCGGGCTACTTGGGGGGGAGCGTTCGCGGGATGTCCGGACGTTGATCGATTCGCATACTAAGGGATCGCTCGAGAGGTTTGTGTCATCTGAGGGTATGATTTGTCGAGCGGCGTGAGTAGTGAGGAATCTCTTTTTGATCGTTGTCATGTGCTGTGCTGGTCTGTCCCGGATGTTGCCAGAATTTTCGCTCGTGATCGCCTCAGTTGCTGGGAGCTGCGTGTTGTTGTCCGATCGAGATCGTTGTTCTGTGATGGTGTGGTTCTCGGCGTTTCGTCCTGCGCTGTCTTCTTGGCTACTTTTGTCCGAGCTTTGCTGTGTTTCTAACTCGGCGTTACCGTGACAGGCTTCCCCAGCTGCGTTGGCGTCCGCTTCCGCATCTGTGTCCACGTCAGAATCTGCGTCTGCATTGACATCATCGTCACTATCGCTCTGTCCGCTGTCAGTCCCGCCTTCTTCTGACATGCCGTCGTTCTTGTCGTTGCCGACTAAAGCTTGCTCATCTTCGTTGGCCTGGTGCTGTTCCTCTTGGGTGTCCATTCTGTTTCTTGCTTCCTCATGCGCTCCTGTGCCATGGTTGTCGGTATGTGTCTCAATGCTGTGCATAGCGTCGCCCATCTCCTCGTCTTCTTCTGCTGCCATTTCCGTGCCGGGTACTTCTGCATTTTCCGCTATTCCTGGCTCTCGGGTAGGTGTCGCTCGGTTGTCAAGCGTCTGTGTCAAGTTTTCCTTGTGTTGTCTTCTGTAGTCGTTTGCGCCGAGTTTCCTGGCGTGAATCCTTTGCGACTTCGAGAGCTTCTGGAAGCTGTTTCCGACCTTCTTTGGTCTTGCGTAGCAACTTTCAGAGTCCGCTGGGTGGGGACCATGGCAGTTGCTGCATCTCGGCGCTGCTTGACAGCCGTTTACATCGTGGTCTGGGTCAGTGGTACCGCATGTTCGGCACGATTTCGCCGCAGTGCATCGCACTGGTGCATGGAACATCCAGCAGTTGGGGCATTGTGTTAGCTTTTTAGTCTTTGGTAGGGGGCGGGATGGCCTTCCCGCACCAAGAAGTCTGAAATCGCGATGTACGGCCTTTTCAAAGGAGATGATCAGGGATGTCTTTGTCGGGTCTGGGCCTGGTTTACTAGAGCGGCGCCACTGTACAGGGGTCTGTCCTGTTTGGGCAATAATTTCTTCGCTAATGGTCTTTTCGAAGTCTAGGATGGAACCATCATACGACGATATCTCATTCGGGAAGTCGTCGATGATATACGTGTGCCACACTACGTGCTTTTCTGCGATGTCTAGGTCCATGATTGGTCCCCATATGCCTTGCGATTCAATGATCTTGTTCTGGATCTCCTCACTGCGCGCTTGCACCGACCAGCCTGTGTTAGTAGATTTGATTTCATGGATGTCTTGTGGCTTAAGTGCGAGCTTGTCCTGAAATGCAAGTCGGATCTGGAAGCTCTGTTTCTCAAAAAAGCTTGAGCCCTCCTTCAGGCGAAGGAGAACTCGTCGGTCTGTGTAGTTGTTGGTAGTACTTGGCTGTCTGCGTGTGGCAGGAATGCGTACGTTCCCTGGTGTTTGTTTCGCGGCTGCTTTGGTCACGTCGGCGAAGCTTACTTTCTTGGGTTGGGCTACTTCATTGTTCGTTGGCGGTCCGGAAACGGCTTTGTCGGCGGGCTTTATTCTCGGCTGAGGCAACTCGCTGCTAGGTCCCATGGTTTCGCCAGCGTGCAGGAACTGATTCCAGTGGCGGAGCAGGGATTTAGTGAAGTCATTGGCGACGGCGTGCGCGTATCCATGATCGAATTTTCTTGCGCAAGCGGCGATGGACTCTGCAAAGGTGTGCAGCACGTCCGCTCGGGTTGTCATACGTTCCTTCTCCTTGGCGATAATCCTTCGTGTCTCGGATTCTAGGTCTATGGCATTGAATGCGTCGATGATGTCGTCTTCTTCCTCGGCAAGAATCCCGTAGTAGTTTGCGTTCGGGTTGGCGTCTCTATCGAGGTGCCGGCGTTTTCTGTGGTCGTTTCTGGCGGCGCTTGCCGAGCGTCGAACGGGGCTGCTGCTGGGCAGGAAAGGGCGGGTGGTTACAGGGGCGGCGTCTCTCAAGAGCTCCTCTTGGGCGTCAGAGTGGAAGCCTTCCGGAAACTGTCGGCGACCTCTTGTGCCGGTCGCGGGCGCGGGCGATTGGTGGATCGCCATTGCCCACGGCTGCGCAGAAGCGCTGAACAATTCGCTGGATGCTGCTTTCTACTTGTTGTGCGTGCGGGTAACTGAATTTTACTCTACAAAGGTGGGTACCAATGTAGATGTAGGAGGAAGGTTGTGCCAGAAATGGAGGAGCCGTAAGTTCTCACGCTATAGGGTATCTCATGGAAGAGGCATTAAGACAGGGTTTCAGGCATCTCTCATCCTCGAAAGAGCTTCTGAACTCACGAAAATAGCTAGGGAGCAAAGTGCAGGAAAGAAAGGCCAAACGAACAAACAGGCAAGCTGTTGGCGGAAAGACAGCATCCTGCCAAGTTCCCAGGAACGTGGAGCGGTCTATAACACGACCAAAGGCCATCAGCGCCTTAGCCAAGCGTTTGTATATCTCGAAGTCTCAGTGAAGAGCATGACATTTTAAGAAAAAAGGCTACCTAGCAGGCATCTAGGTCACAATACAGCTTTTGAACATGACACGACCTTCGGCCACGACACAACTTTTGGCCATGAGTTATTCTCTGTCCTTCTTTGTGGCGTTCTCTGTGCTTCTCAATGTGGTTTTCGCGATTATTTATAACAAGTTCTCAAGTGATCCCTTGCGTCCCGTGAGGGACCGCTCCGGGCGGCCCGCGACGCGGGAGTTGGCTTCCATTCGCACTTGGTTTTGCCGCTTTTATCCTCTCGATGGGCGCACAGTACCCGTGTTTCGGAATCTAGAGGCAATGGTGTTATTAATCATATCACTATTATTAAAATTAAAACTTTTCACGAGAATACTTTAGAGTACAGTATTAACTTCGATATCTAGTAAGCCAACAGTAAATATGTGTTATCAACATCTAAATCTAACTACTAGCGGCCATATACTGATTGTGATCACCATGCACGAACTGTATTATTGAAGCATGTATCCCAGTCAGTTTCATCCAACAGCCAGAACCTGCGCAACCTCACCAGCATTTGGAAGTCCGTCAATTCTGAGAGAGGGTGTTTCCAAACATTGTAGATG